GCCACAATTCAGAATACAGTGGTGCCTCGCTTGATGACGTTAATTCATTCCAGTGAAATCGCTATAGTGAAAACGTCATCAAACGAAATAAACAACTCATTGAAATGCATTGAAAACCGTTCAGTGCATTCCAATGGGATGAATACCTGCTCGTCCAGCGAAGATCCTCCATACGGCGGCCATTTTCTGGTGCCTGTTAAGCGAAAAATCTGTCCTAAAGCACAGCGGGGGCCCATTTTCTTCAGCTGGCAGCCATTTTGAAACCCGACGATCAGCTGTTTGCTGATCATCGTAAAGTGAAAATCGGTTCCCGAAGCAGGGAACCAATCATCGTGAAACAAACAAAAAAAAAATTTAAACCATCATCTTGTGATCGCAAAAACTTCAACATTAAGCAGATTCGTTGTAGAGTGGGGTAATCGTCCAGCGGGGCATGACTGTATATTTATGCCATTTAATCTGCACTATCAAGAACATTTTCTAGGGAATCTGGCTCCCTTAAAATAATAGAATGCACCTTTGAACTATGTGGGACAATCCGGTTTTTGCCGAACCAACTGCCTAAGTAACAAGTGTAAACCTTAAGAGCTATCTACACCAGGCAAAAGTTTGTGTCCAGAATATCCTACTGGGTGACCCCCTTGCGGTAGCAGACCATCTTTTCTCCCTGTCTGCATATTAACAATGGATATGGGAGAGGTCTCTAATAGAATGCACCTTTGAACTATGTGGGACAATCCGGTTTTTGCCGAACCAACTGCCTAAGTAACAAGTGTAAACCTTAAGAGCTATCTACACCAGGCAAAAGTTTGTGTCCAGAATATCCTACTGGGTGACCCCCTTGCGGTAGCAGACCATCTTTTCTCCCTGTCTGCATATTAACAATGGATATGGGAGAGGTCTCTGAGGTGGCGTGGCTGTGTGGTAATTGTCCAGTGGGGCATGACTGTATATTTATGCCATTTAATCTGCACTATCAAGAACATTTTCTAGGGAATCTGGCTCCCTTAAAATAATAGAATGCACCTTTGAACTATGTGAGACAATCCAGTTTTTGCCGAACCAACTGCCTAACAAGTGTAAACCTTAAGAGCTATTTACACCAGGCAAAAGTCTGTGCCCAGAATTTCCTACTGGGTGACCCCCTTGCGGTAGCAGACCATCTTTTCTCCCTGTCTGCATATTAACAATGGATATGGGAGAGGTCTCTGAGGTGGCTGCCAGGTCTCAAGTGCACCTGGAAGTGTATCCCAAGGCTCATGTGCAATTTGAGATGTATTTGAAAAACGCAAGCAAGGAGAAAGTTGTGCCACAGGAATCCAAAGATGGGAAAAATCACCTTTGTGGAGGATCACTCCCCAAACTGGCATGGCCAGTAAGTAGAAATCACCCATCAGGACAGAGAAGGATGTCAACCAAGTACTGCAAATAACCATTAGAGGTTTACTAAACAAAAAAAAGGCTTTGTAGCTTACCTCCCGATGACATTGTTCATTCGAAAGCACTTTTTAATTCATTGCACTGATCCTCAGAGAACAGAACTTGGAAACCCTTCTGCTCCGATGATCAAAGCAAAATAAAAGCCAAGGAGTAACGTGTGAATTCTTAAAATCCGAACCCACGTTTCATCCATGTGATCACAGATGTACGGCGTATAGGATTTCTGAACAGCTCGCACTCAGCTGTGTGTGTAAAATAAAGCCCCATTAAGATGGGATGACTCGATCAAGGAGGTAAATGTAATCTTGTGCACATTACCCACCTAGGTGACACGATTGCAATCCATCACAAGGAAGAGGACGGATGGTGGTATGGATCTCTCAAGGGGAAAAAAGGCATTTTTCCAGCAACATATGTGGAAGAAATTGCTCCAGCTGCTGACCAGAGCCTCACTGTGAACAATACCACTCTTTAAACTGAAAAGGGCAAGATAACCACAGATCCCAAGGCCACTTCCCCATTCAACCTTTACTCACCTGGGAAAGGCTCAAATCTCTTTAAATGCCTACTGTGCTGAATGAAGTCTTAAAATCAAACCAACCAAATCTGACTAACTTCCTAGATGCATAGGAAGCTCTGAATCTGAAGCTATATCATAAAAATTAAAAATCTCTCTCACACCCAATTCCTTTGTCATAAAAAAAAAAGCATTGGCGTTTAAGGTGCTATTCCATAACCACCTTACAATAGATCCTACTGAACTAAATTGGGTTCGCTTAAGGCAGTGATGGCGAGCCCAAGTGCCCAAACTTGGGGGGGGGGGAACCAACCCAGCAGGCAGCGGGCAGCAGCGGAAGCGGAAGTGGCAGCGGAAGCTGGAATCCCGGGCATGGAGGTGCCTCCAGACCCCAATCCGGATCCGCCTCCAGTTGTGCCCAACCTCACCACTACCTATAGCTCAGCTGGGCTACCGCCAATGCCAGCTGGTCCATATCTTGGCCCACCACCTGTCGGGGCGCTAGCACTCGGGCTGCCGCCAGTGCCAGCTTGCTCCATATCTTGGCCCGCCGCCTGTCGGGGCGCTAGCACTGTGGCTGCAGCAGCCTCTTCAGGTTTGGCTGCTGGAGGTAGCGATCCAGCGACTTATGGCTTGCGTGCCCACAGAGAGGGCTCTGCGTGCCAGCTGTGGCACGCATGCCATAGGTTCACCATCACTGGCTTAAGGGGATCCTGTGTTGGGCAGCTGGTGGAGTAGTCCATGCCAGGCCAGGACTTCAACGCTCCGGAATAAAATCCCCACTGTACCATGAGATGCAGTGAGTAGTCTTGCATCAGTTAATGATTCCGCCGATCTTGCTTCACAGAATCAGGTGGACGGGAAGAAAACAAACACACTGCCTTGAACTCACTGGAAAAAAGGAAATACAAATGTAAATGATAAGTGCTAGACGTTCAAGGCAGTAGGACAAGAGGAATAGCTAAAATGAGTGACTCAATTAAAAAAGCCACAGCCTTTAGTTCGCAAGCCCTGAGCAGAGCTGTTAATGAGAGAGGAGTTTGAAGGTCAGTGGTTCATAAGGATCAGGGCATCAATACTGTTATTGCCCTTATTTCTGTTATCTGGTGCTAGATAATTTCTGACTTACAATGACTCTTATGACTCAGTGACCTTCAAACTGCTGTTACTGCGCTGGGTTGAATAGTCCTATAGTGACCGTTCAGGCCTTTATATGTACTGGAAATGGATTCTGTACATTTCTTGTTAAAAAGAAGCAGACACTTACGACAGCCCATTCACAAAGTTTGGCACAACCAAGTCCTGTGTGTTGCTCTTAGAAGAGTAGGGCGCTTTTTAAAAGAACTGACGACTCAAGGGCACTTCACTAGTTCAGACTGGCCCTGCCAGAGGGTTTGGGGCATCTGATCTGCAACTGCAGCTCCTGGTCAGACATGAGAATTTTAGAGTCTCCTCTGGTTCGCCGGAAGGCTAGGATGACAGCCACCAATTGTATGGCCAAGATCCACACACCCCTTCCCTCACTATCTGGAAGAGCAAGTCAGTCATAGTTCTAACATTTATTATTTCTAAACACAGTGAATATACACAGACAGATTCATAAATACAGCAACACATCATTTGTAAGTCAAGGCAACGAAAGCCTTCCTAACATTTGCAATAAATGCAGAAAAATTGTTAGTTTCTCTCATTTTTAGCTGCAACTCTTCTATACAATCCAGCGGAGGAGAGCAAGAGATCACTAGAAGGAAAGAAGGATCAAAATTAGTTCCAGTTTGAACATCGGGCATCTTAATGTCTTGTATTGGTCAGGTGGTATGGTTCCTTCTTAGCCTCTTGCAGTCACCCCTGAACAGTAAAACTGCTGCTACTTTATATCATTCCCAGATTTGTATTTTTTGACTTCACACTCCCACATGCTTTACACAGCTACAACTTGGGGCCAGCAACACAAATCTGGACACCTCTAATCATTACTTCTATTAGCACCAATTATCAAATCTCAGTAAAGTGGTGCCTCGCTTAGCGATGTTAATCCGTGCAGAAAAAATCGCTGCTAAGCGATAACATTGCTAAGTGAAAATAAAAAGCCCTTAGAAACGCATTAAAACGCGATTAATGTGTTCCTATGGGCTAAAAACTCACCTTTAAGCGAAGATCCTCGATAGCGCTGCCATTTTTGGTGCCTCTAAAGCAAGGTATCTGTGCCTGAAAACAGCGGGCAGCCGTTTTGTTTACCCGGTGGCCATTTTGAAACCGCCAATCAGCTGGCCGAAAATGGGGGGGTTGCGATGATCGCTTCCCTGCGATCCTCGCAAAGCGAATTTCCCCCACAGGGACCATCGCAAAGCGATCGCTTTTGCGATGGCAAAAAGTCCATCGCAAAGCAATTTCATCACTATATGGAGCGATCGCTATGCGAGGCACCACTGTATATTGGCAGGCAGAATCCTGGTCAAAATATTAAAGCTCAAGTATGAATGGTGTGGTTTTGTTATTACTGAAATATATACAAGAGAATCAACCAAATGGAAAAGGCAGTGGGGGGAAAAGCCACAGAAACTACTAGTGATACGAGGAAAGGAAAGCAATTTACTTCTTGTAATCAACCAATCTACTAGGTAAAATCTTTTTATATTGTGGAGAGAGAGAATACATTTATGTGATTATTTTCTGTAAATCCAGTTACAACTATAAAACAGGGGTAATGAATCTGCTGCCTTCCACATGTTTTTGGCTTACTGCTTATGCCATCCCTGCTTTACTGGTCATGCTCCCAAGAATGATGGGAACTGGAGTCAAAACACAAAGGAACTGCAGATCCCCCACCCCAAAAACCTTGAAAGACCACGATGTTAAAATGAGACACAGCGTGGAAGCTCATTACATACCTTCATACGCTCCCTCTTCATTTATGGAAAGGGTAAGGATGAATGGCTTGTCAAAATCTTTGTGGTCGATACAGCTGAATATAAACTGCAGATGTTTTGCTAGATACAAACATGGGAATTTATTGAGACGCGCGAGTTTGTCAGAAAAAGTCCATCTCAAGGTTGCTTTAATTCACTCCAGAGCTGTAGCACTATTTCATTCAAGTCAAAGAAATCACTAGAACTCCAGTCATCATCTCATCTAGGCTTCCAGTGTTGTATCTGGAGCTCCAGACCTAAGAGATGGTGCCAGTCTTTGCTCATTCTTTCTCTGGCATTCTCATCATCCCCCTCCCCCAAACCACAGGTCTGGGGAGCTGCTTGGGAAAGAGTTGCATATAACCAGTGACACACATCATCAAAAACTATCATCCCACCATATAAAACTTAGCTAGTCAGTCTTCTACATGCTTCCTGAATAACGTTTTGTTCAACTAAAAACGAAATTTCAGACCTCAAAACTGCATTTGATAAACTTTTTTTAAAAAATTAAAAACCCAGAATGTATTTAAGGGCTGTACATGAAAGAAACTGTTCACCCATCCTTCAGCAAGGACCCAACCACCCAAGATGGTGCTAAACCTTAAAATAAATAAATAAATAATAGTTTTTCCCACATTAGAAAACTGATATGCGCTGCAATGTCAACCTATGGTGTTTTAAGTTGGTATCTTTGAAACCTAGTGTGCAAAGAAAAGCCATGATTTTTGGTGCAGTTTAAGTGGTGGAAATGCTGCCAGTGATAGCAAAATCTGCTCCTGTGAACTTTGACTTGACTCCTATACAGTGATCAGCTGGGGTGGGAGATGCTTTGCACCCACCTACCGAGACAGGGATGGGCAAAATGCATCCCTAGGACTGCATGCACTCTCCAGAGGCTGCTTTAATGGCACCCAGTACTTCTTCAGCCCTATCTTTTGCCAACAGAAAAAGCTGAAATCCACCCTTTAAATGGCTTACAGGTCACCCTTTCTTGCATTTTGGATGCTGTATGTAGCCCCTTTGGAGGGTCCTCAGACCAGAGAAAGTTAGCATTTTTTATATCAAGTGGACCCCAGAATATTAACATTGATCTGTTCTACAACATACATACGGAGCATGAGCAGATGCTAAATGCAAGGGTCTTCTGCAGTAAGGGTTCCCAACCCCCGATCTGATGCCGGTCCATGGCCTGGGCCACTGGGACAGATCTCCCACCACCCCCGCAGAGCTCCTTTGCACATGTGCATGAGTTTGCACACATGCACGCCTAGCGCTCCCGCCCCTTCGCGAAAGTGTGCACACGAGCACCTCCGCCCCTTGCCCTCCCCGCACACAGACCCGGTCCTCCCCCAACCAATCTGCGGTGTCAAAAAGGTTGGGGAACACTGTTCTACAGGACAATGGTTTTTTGTACTGAGGCGAGAGCAGGATTTGCACAGAAAATTGTTTCTATCCAAACTCACACTTTTTTGGACTAGGACAATGTTCAGCAAATATCTGACCTGGAACTAGTGGCATAGTTTCTTTTTTAAAAAAGCAAATGGATTAATGCTACTATGGAAGCCTAGCACTAGCCACTCGGCGAAACAACAAAAATGTATACATCAGTCTTACCGCTTGTTTTGCGTATTTCTAGCCCAAGCCGCTCTTTAAAAAGTACTTCAGCCTTAAGCAGTCTTTGCTCCATTTCCTCTGTGGCTCTGCTTTTAACTAAGGTTTGAATGAGACAAAATAGTGACATTTCCTACCATGCCCTCAACTGCAGGTTAATCGTTTTTTGGTTTGTTCTTCCATTTTTCTTATCTTTCAAGGAGTTAGAAAATATGTCAAATCATTACAAATTTTCCTACTGGATACATGGATGTTACAATCAAAGCAAAGAGTGAATTACTGTTACAGTGGCGCCTCGCAAGATGCACAGCCCCAGTCCTGCCAGAGGCCACGAGAGCTCCTCAGTGTTTTGGGGTGCCCTGCGGGACCCCCATCAGCTAGGTGTTCCTCCCACAATCCTCTAGTGCACATGTATTAGCATAAGGTATAAGCATATGCTAATACCTGTGACTACAGTCGTTGCAATGTGGATTCATCGTTTTGCGGGCGGGGGCAGGGCACAGAAGGGGGTAGGAGGTGCAAGGGCCACTCCAACTCATACCTTGCAGGGGCAATACCATGGTCATGAAATTAGTTTTTCCAAGGTAAGGCTCATCCATTGCACTTTGGGTGTGCTAATCCCTATGATTTCCCCAAATGTGAGGAACTCATAATTTGTGCTAATAGGGGATTGCATTTGTGATTTCCCTGGTGTTTTTAGAATCTCTTTATCCTTTGGTTCCTGGCTATCTTCACTATCCTCTATCATTTAAATTTGCAGCCATAGCCCCATTGGAGATGCTTTGCAAGACGTTTTTTCCCCCCACTGGAACACATTAATTACTTAAGACCTGCTTTTTTATCCCAAAAAAGTGGGGGAGAAAGTGTATGCTGTTGGCTTCCAGGAGGCAGTTCCTGGAAAACCAACAGCATACACTTTCTCCCTCACTTTTTTGGGATAAAAAAGCAGGTCTTATGTAATTAATGTGTTCCAATGGGGGGGGGGAACCATCTTGCAAAGCATCGGCCTAAAAAAAAACCAAACCATCTTGTGAAAATCCTCCATAGAAAACATTGTCTTGTGAATTAATCGTCCCATGACGCAATCATCTTGCAAGGCACCATTGTATTTTTAAAATAACCCTGCCGTGAAACATTCATTTTTTGGCTTCTTCATTTACCTCATACTGACTACCTTTTTAATGTCTTTCACTCCATGGGATGACTTCGTCGAAGAGAGGGGACAGACAGCACATGATGTTGGTTCTCTCTGAAATCTCAGTAAATTCTAATGTCATAAAAATAGTGTCCATCTAAATGGGCTGCGGGACACTGCACTGCAGTTGCCGAAACTCCTGTTTTACTGTGCAATTTGAGGCAACAGATCTGGCTCATGGCAATTATACCACAGGGTTGCATAGAAATCAATCTCCGGTCCTTTTTTTCCATCTACGGGGAATTGCTGGAACAGATCATCCTGGGACATAGACCAAGTTATCACCAATATGCACATCATACCCAGTTCTTAAGTCTTCTGTCCAAGTAAAATGGGCAAAACAGCTGAATTAAGTGCTTGGAAAGAATACTAGACAGGATGAGAACAATAAACAGAGATTTAATCTAGGTAAGATGGAGATACTGCTTCTGCCTGATCATTTCCCTCACTCTCTGACTTTCCTTCTGCTGATCTGTCAACCAACAGTCAAATTTACAAGCCAAGCTACCACTTTCTCATTCTTTGCTCAAGAGGTGGCCTTGGAGCTGCCCTCCTCTTCTTCAATGGCACCATCCACAACACATTTTGCCACAGAGAGACAATCGCCATGTAGCAAACTGAAAGTGAAATGACCCTGGGTTGCAATGTTTCTAAAATTATTTACAACCAAGATTTTTGTTGCTACTTACTTTTCATTCTTCTGGTAAGTTCCTCCTTGAGCTCTTGAATACTATCCATCAAGTCTGTCTCTTGTTTCTTCCCATCTGCAATGTTTGCAAGCACTTCGGATAATTTCTCCTGTTTTACTTCAATAGATTTCCTCTTCTGACAGCACTCTGTATTAAACAGGGCAAGCTAGTTCTTTACCACGACTTTATTACAAAACTGATTTTATTCATAAACTATTTCTGGTGACACACTCAAAAGATAGCCAAAACGGTTAAATATACAATAAGCAATAGGATGGATACTATTTCAAGTCCATGAACAGAAACATTTCTGTCTCTCATATGAACTACTTTCTTGTGTTTGCTTCTGTCTTACACAAACTGCTTTCAGCACCTTAATACACTGTCAAGGCTTAGCTGAAGACCTTTCTCTTCAGGCAGGCTTCCCCTTACTGACCGTCTAAGTGGGGTTTTAAAATCAGAAGAATCAGTATTGTTGTTGTTTTAATCTATTTAAATAATATTTTTATTTAACATTTTAATATAATATATATTTCATTTGAAAAATATATTTTAATAAGCGTTGTTTTTAGCTGCCTCTTAATGATGTAAACCGCCTTGGGTCCTTTTATGGAGAAAGGTGGGGTAAAAATATTTTCAGTAAATAAATAGATATTATATAGAGCCTCTGCCATGGAAAATGCAGATATGAAAATAAATGCAAGCAACACATAGTACATGTGCAAAACAAAGAACAGACAATATGTTTACAACTTAACATAACTGTTGATGTCTTTGGATGAAAATAACATATGAGCAATGGTCAGGAAGACAGGGAGATGTGGCTCAAAACATCTGTTCATCATGGCTTTGATATGCATTTACTGCACTCTGATGCATTTGTTTAAAGCAAGGCTGGGGAACCTATGACCCCACCAAATGTTGCTGTACTTTGGCTCCTAGAGGTTCTCCCCAGTGTAGATGATGGTTAGGCATACTAGAAGGTATAGTTTCACAAGATCTTGAAGACCACAGGCCCTGCTTTAAAGTGTGTCAAAATCACCTGTACCATACTGTTTTGAGTTTCAAATTTCAGTTTTCACTTTACGTTCAGTGAAAACACTGAAGCAGGCATTAGGTACACCCAGTAGAGAAACATGCAAGCTTCATCAGGTTTAAGGACTCTCTAAGATATTTCCCATTATTGCAACATTTGTCTCTGGAGAAGTATGGCAGAGAAAGCAATGTTGCTCTTGTAAATAAAAATATTTGGAAAAAAAAGTACATCCAGACTGTTTTGATTACAAACAGGATAATGATCTCAGTGTATAATTAACCCCCTCTCAAATTTCTGTCCAATTAAATCTGGTTGAACTGTTTAAAAAGTAAAAAATAAAAAGACCCACTTAGGATAGGTTTATATGCCCTGCATCTAACTTGTTACTTAGACTTCTGTAGAAAGCTGGAGAAAAAGCTTCTTCAGACATTCCATACTTAGTACATCTCATACTTGACAACACTATTCAAATATTTTCCATCGTACATGTACTGCCATCATGTAAAAGTGCAACGCAAGATGTTTCAGGAACAAGAAGGTATCCATACTATACCATTTGTATACTCATGGAATTTGTTGATGATGTCATCTCCTTCTTTCAATCTCTTGGTCCATTTATCTGTAATTTTAAAAAATATTATCTGCCACCACAGTTCTAATATACCCTGATGTATATATACATATAAAGACTGATTTTTTTTCCAGAATTACTGAAGCTTCCATAAACCTCATAGAGTTTCCTTCACACATAGCTAAGATAGTCTTTCTGTTGACCCTCAGTGGTCATCTACCTCAGTTGTTGCCCTATAGCTGTATTTTATTATTTTTGTTGTTTCTATTTCAGTTTAATTTTATTGTTTGCTGATTGGGATGGTGGTTGGGATACTTTGTTTTAAATCGCCAGGGCAGAGTTTTTTTCACTGGCTGGTTGGCTAAATAAACAAATTAAATACATAAATAAAAATAAAATAAACACTGTTTAGAGACGAGGAGGTGGGAGTCACACAAGGTTCAAATGGAACAATTCTGGCTCTTCTTTTGAGTGCCTCCTTTCCTCCCAGCTGCTTCTGCAGGCATGGAAGGGGGGGTGCAGATTACACCAGTATTACAATCACAACAAATGGGTTTTTAAAAAATTCACAGCTTTCCCCCAGCCGCTGCCCCGAATTCCTTCCTGAAAACGACACTGTCTTTAGCTGAAGGCAGGTTGTGTAGAAAAGGATTGCCATAAGTCGGAGTTGACTTAACAGCACATAATTATTCTTGCTGTTGTTATATTGGATAAATGTCCCTTTCTGTTTCATCACACCACGTGACAGAAAGTGCCCACTGGCAACACAACAACAATAAATAGTTCAATGATACACAACTTTACCTGAAAGCTTGTTTATGGATTCCTGCCACAGATCTCTCAGTCCCAACGTCTGGTCCAGAGACTCGTTGCAACAAGTGGTTTTAAACGTACTCCAAAATTCCTTTATCTCTTTTTTGAGTATTGCCAGTTCATCGTCGTTTTTTGGCTGAGCCATTTTCCTAAGGAAAAAAAAATGTAGCCACACCTTAGTCTCTCCAGCTTGATTAGGCAGCTTGGCTAAGGAATATCTGCTGGGTTACTAAAACATTACCAGTTATTCACAAACCTTACATAGCCAACTCATTTACAGTGCAAAAAAAAGGTACCTATTACAGAGGCTCCTCCCAGCCTACAGCCATGTTTTCAAATGCAAAGGAGTTTTTAAAAACACTGAATGCCCATGATTAAAAAACAACAACAACAGCTTTTCAAAATGAATGAGGCAACAATGAATTCCAAACGCACCTTAAATGGCACAAACTTTTATCCGTGATGGCCTCTTCCTTCAGATGCAGGGAATCAAGCCCGAGTAACTCGCCAAGGATCCGCCAAATAAACTGTTCGACGTACAGGTACTTATTTGATCTCCTTCCTGCTTTTCGCTAAGGAAGGGGCCCGACTGGTTGGTCTTCCGAGGAATCCCGTCTCTCTCTCTTTCTGGGCTGCAGAGAGACGAAAACGGTTCCCTTCTGGGAGTCGGAGTCGCCGCCGCCCTCTTCTTTGAATATAATAAATATGAAATTCAAAAAGTTATATTTAAAGACATATTGAAATTAGCCAGCCGGGTTTCTAGAAGCCCCGGTCCCGAGGAGGTTGTGGGGAGATCGGTCGAGAAAAGTGCCCGTTTTCACACACACACAAAAAAAAAGAAAGAAAGAAAGGGGGAGACTACTATTTATAAAGCAGAAGGGTGACGTCGCGGCCACCAAACTCTCCGCCTTGCCCGCTTCAAACCTGCCCGCGCTTTGACGTCCGCGATCAACGGCTTCATTCCTCCACGAGCCTGTGCGCAGGCGTGTGGAAAAGGCAGCTGGTGATTGGTCGGTGAGGCGCAGACCGGGTAGGGGGAAGGCGAAGCGAAGGGGGGGGATTTTCTTCTTTGTTTGCTATTGGGCGAAGGCCGCGGAGAGGACGATGAGCACGACGGGAATTGTAGTTTGAGTCTCATCCTCTCTCTTTCTCCCTCGACTTTCCGCGGCTAGGGAAACGGAGAGGCGGGGCGAAGGGCCAAACAGGGCTTCCTTCTTCCCCTCTTGTCCATTCCTTGCCCTCCCGCCCCGCTTCCTAACAAACACATGGAGGAAAGGGAATCGACTTTCCGCGGCTAGAGAAACGGAGAGGCGGGGCGAAGGGCCAAACAGGGCTTCCTTCTTCCCCTCTTGTCCATTCCTTGCCCTCCCGCCCCGCTTCCTAACAAACACATGGAGGAAAGGGAATAAACTGGAAGATAAGGGAGCTAACTGACCCCAGAGGCCATCATGGGCCATCAAGCCAATGCTGACTTATGGGCAACCCTTTTCAGGGTTTTCCAGATAGAGCATACTCCGAGGGGCGTTCCCCTGCCCTTCCTCTGGGGGGCGCCCTAGGGCGGTGCAGCTCACCCAAAGGGCCACCCAGGCTGGCTTTACTCACAGGACGGGAGTCCAGCTCCCAACCTCGGGCTCTGCAGCCAGAGCATTGAACCCCTGAGCTTTCCAGCCAGCGACCTCCCAGGAATGAACATCCTCCTCAAGGTCCTTCCCTCCCCGAGCAGCCGAGTAGCAGGTCTTGCAAACTGGAGGCCCTGGCTTCCTTTACTTCATGGTCGGCTTTCCTCTTCTTTGGCATTTAACATTTCCCTAGCCTTATTATCTTTCCCAGTAAACCTCGCCTTCTCATGATGCTTTGATATTTCGAAAGTACAGTAGGGCCTCCTTATACACAAGATCAGCGGTTTCATTTAACCATAGTCTGACAGTATTAAAATCCGGCGGGGGGGGGGAAAGGAAAAAAAACTATACGTGTACTGTATTACCAGAATAGGCGACTGGATGGAGCCAGAGTCTGTGCTATGAATGCTTGTTACTATATACAGTATATCATGGTCAAAGGGATAGAGATATACATGTGACCATGCTATACAGAGAGAGAAAGAGAGTTCTACAGATATGAGGGTCCTATTGTACAATAGCCTCAGTTTAGTCATTTCAGCTTCTAGTGAGAGTTCAGGCTTGATTTCATCTAGAAACCACTGATTTACCTTTCTGGCCTTCCATGGCGTCAATAAAACTCTATTCCAGAGCTGCAGTTCAAACTAAGTAACTTTCTGTCATTTTTCTTCATTGGCTAGTTTTCATATCCATACATCGTACCTGAGAATACTATAGCATGGATAGTCTTAGCCTTGTCTCCAGTGGTGCATCATTTCACCTAAGAGATCTTCTCTCGTTCACAGTTGCCCTTCTGAATACTGTATAGGTATTCATTCACCTTGGTCATCAGCTACAACCTGAACCTCCTTTTAACTGGCGATGCTATTGAACCAGGGGCTTTGTAAGCCAAAAAGCATTACTTTTAGTATTGTGCATTCTAAGGCCCCTTCCTTCCTTCCTTCCTTCCTTCCTTCCTTCCTGAAATGTACTATGATAAGAAAATATGTTGCATTCTGCACTACTAATAGATGTAGGTGAGCTGCCTACAGAACTACGTAAGAAAATCTTTGCATCATTGTTAATAATAGAATTAAAGAATTTCTCCTGAGCTAGAAGTTTGTTGCTTCAAAAAAGATGCCTTCAGGTGTTGTGTGTGCACATGTGAAGAACCATAAAATATAAGTAACAAATCAGTCAATAGACCTTCGTTTCTAGACATGCCTAATCAATATACATACCATACCTATTTACTGTAATAAGGCTGTAAATCCTGTTTTATAAATATATGCAGTGTTTGTATTATATTATAAGTTAACCTAAAACATATTTTTCTGTATTTGCTGTGCAATATTCAGAGCAAATGAATTGTTAAAGGGAAACAGAGATGCATTTCATCTACATATTATCATATTTCCTTTCCTGCCTCCTGTTTTAACAACATACTAGGATTAGAGATGGACCAAACAAACAAACAAAAAATTAGTTCTGAAACTTCATGGAAGTTTGTTTGCGATTATTTCAGTTTCCAGGCAATGCAAATATCAAAGCGGTACTAACAGTGGCAAATGGTAGCAAGCACCTTGTGTTTCCAGATTTGTCAAAATCACACCCGGGTTGTGTTTTGCTTTGTACTCGACGGAGTTCAGGCAGCAGCTACTTCTTGGGTCAAAAGCTTTCAAGAGTAGTGCTAAAATGCTAACCAGATAAATCAAACAGATCTTGCAAATCCAGCACAAAATATTAAGAGTTTCACGGCTTTCTCAATGCCATCCAAATAGCTGGTGTAAAGACTGATTTCTAAAGGAGATTCGATGTGGAATACACCTCTGCTGAAAATAGGTCAAATTGGAAGCCTTGACTGTTAGTGCTAACCTGGGATTCTGCGCCTATTTTTTTAAAGGGTTTAGTCAACATTCTCCAAATAGTTGGGTGTAGAAGACAGGTGACTTCCAAAAGAGATTAGAAAACTAAACTTCCACTGAAAAAGACTCAGATCAGAAGCACCCAATGCTTGTGACATTTGCCCTTCGTGGCCCCTGTTTGTCTTCCAACTACAGAGCACATGAAGGCAAACCTAACACCTTTTCACACGCTGCCACCAGTTGATTTCTTTATCAACGTACTTTGCTTAGGAAAGACAAAGGTCCATTCATCACTGTCTTTTGAATAAAACAGGTTTATTGATTACAGACGTTTCTATAATAATTCATAAGCATCTTCTTCAGGTTCCTCAAGCAGCAATAACAATCTTCTATATTATCTTACAGGTTACTATTCACTCCTCAGACTAATCACACCTCAGATCTCCCAACTAACTCTCTAGACTCTCAGGCTCTGCCTTTTAACCTCTCTAGTGGCCCCACCTCTCAACCATACCAGCATAAAACATGAATAATACATGACTTATTTAGCATAATAAGGGTGAGCGCTACAGTGCTAGTGCTAATCTGTTTAAAAGCACACACAAATATAAAACCCACCATAGAGAATTAATTTTAAACAATTTCCTCAAGCATTTTGAAATATTTTTTATCTGTTCAATACAAACATGCCGATTGCTTGAAGAGAAGCTGAGTTTTAGGGTTGAACATGTACAGAAATCTCAGTAAGATCTATGTCTTTTTGGCACTAAGCAGCACCAACTGGCACAAAGTGAGGAGAAAAACAAATGATCTGCATGAATCCTAATAATAGACGAGGGTCTGGATGAGCCATAAGAATAGATTATGTCTCAGTATTTTGTTCTTGCTCAACATGTGTAGGCTACATGTTTTTTCCACATCTGCTTTGGGTTGGAAGCATACATAGATCATGCTTTTTTAAACAGCAGTTTGTTGTTTCTTAACAAGTGCCGGCCTCAACAGGATGAACTGAATTCATTCATTTACCTTTTTTTAAAAAGTTCACTTAGCAGCTGGCACAGCGTACCTCTCAGGAGGGTTCATATGTTCCCTTGGACTTTGCAGATCTGACGCATTGTGTGGTTTTCCTCTATTTTTACCTGTTGTCTAGCAAACTGCCAACATGTCTTATTCCAGCACACTGTCTGTGCAGGTGCTGATTAGAGACCACATTTAGTACACAATAATAGCCTTCCTGCCGCTCCATTATTTTCCCATTGACAAAAATGCGTCTGCAGCACACAAAAGGGAGCCACTACTCATTTGAAGGAGTTCTGAGCCATTCTCTGTTCCTTTCTTAGGAGTGCTGATTGCCAGCTTAAAAGGACCATCTGTTTCATGTGACAAGGACAGAACATGATTTTTTTTGTCTCTTAAAAGAAGGATCAAAAAAACTTTACAGACCTACTCAGAAAGGCAAGGTTGTTAAACCTCCCGCACAGTCTCTGTGGATCAGTTCCTATTGTTTGGCAAAAAACAAAAAACAAAAAAACCAAGTACAGTAGCTGCCTTTGTACAACAAACTCAGCAATGGCTTATGTCAGCTATGGTTTTTGCTTTAGTCAGAAATCATCCCACAGACAAACAATAGTTTGTCAGCGCCAATGTTGGCCTGTTTCTCTCCTGCCCTCTTCGGTTAGCTCATATTTCAGTGTGGGCAGGTGGACAGACAAGCCGGAGACAAATCTTTGTTCAAGCATAACAACAAACCATGGTTTAACAAGTTGAAATTTCTCAACCAACAAGCAACTATGCTTTTTCTTTGTGGCTGTCAAAAACATCTATATATGATTTTTGTTTTGTTTTGTTTTTTGCAATTTTGGATTGAGGTAGAACAACACGCCAGAATTCAACAAACCTCATTTTGGAATAGTGTGAGATGTGAACCCAGCCGATGGAATATAACTGGAAACAGATGCTTTTACAAACTTCATCCAGTCTCGAATACTGTGATGTTTTACAAGCAAGCCAATGTGTCTATGAAGATTTCCACACAGGAAAATCTATAGTGCCTAGGCCTTTGGCCTTCACTACAAACACATGTGCTAGGCCTGAATGCCAAGGCAATGCTCATCATCCACTCTCCAAGAGAGCTGCTGTTTGTGTCTCTCGCTCTGGTTTACTCGCCAAGCCTGCTAACACAGTTTCTGCATATGGCCAGATAAGCCTAAGTGTAAGCTTGGAAAAGTTTTCCTGTGAGTTGTTAAATATTTTATTTTACATATTTAAAATTCAAGAAATATTCTGCCTAATCCTCAGGGTGTTTGTGCCAGTTAATAAAAATAATTACAAACTGAATCAGTTGGCACCCATTGCCTTTATATGTTACCATGCTTCCATGTCTGATTTACCTCAAGTTTTGCTAGTCATGACAACATGACTTCGATAACAGAAAATAACTATTCTGCATCTTCTCTTAGCATGTATGGCTCCGTAATTCTTCAGAAAAAGAAATAACACTGGGAGAGTGCAGTGGAAGGTTTCCTAAAAGTTCTCCACCTT